CCCCAAAACCCCAAAACCCCAAAACCCCAAAACCCCATCTTTAATGATCATCAATATTTCTGAGTTGCGATAAATAAATCTTAGAGGTTAATTAATTTGATCCACAAAATCTTTGAGTGCATTTATATACTAATATTCTTCATTGCATTTCCTATCCAGTGACATTTCTGATTCTGAACACTTGGTTTTTTTCTTTGAAAGATGGTGCTAGGACAGATCCTTCATCTTCTAAGAATTTATTGAGTCTTTACTTTTCTTCATACTTTTCAATAATTAAATCCACAAAATCTTCCTCTTACATCATGAAACATTTGAATGCTACAAAGTATAATTTTATTGAATAATCTGCAAACAATTTCTTGCGCAATTTCAGTAGGAAAATAGAAACTAATCTAATCAAATCAACTTACCCATTGTTCTATAATCAAAGCATCTTCTGATATTTTACTTTTTTTAGGTTTAAAATCTTTTCTCTTTCCTGCAAACCTTGTAGTCTAAATCGATTGTTAATTGGTAAAGAGATAAAATTTTTATAGATATATTAATATTTTTATACCATCAATCAAATCTTGGCAAGTAAATATCTCCTCTGGGTTAATTGGGTTCATAATTTACTTGTCTTCAAATATCTTCCTTATTATTCCAAACTCCATTGAATTTATTTAATTTATTATTTATTAATTTAGTACAATTTCAAACTATAACAATAACTAACCCTTAAGCTTGATTTGCATTTACTAATTAGTCCGCAATCAAGAATTGTTTTTCTCTCACTTTCTATTCCACATTAAATTGTTATTTTAGTCTGATTTCAGATGACACTGTTCTTCTATCTGTACTTAGAATTGCATCGCTTCCTAATTATCTTTAAGCTTATTTTATTGTGTATTACATAAGTGCAACTTAGAAAATATAGGGTAAAAACACAGCCACAGTGTTGCTGATTATGTAATTTTAAAATATGTTCATAAATGAACTCTCTATTCTAATGTACTACAGATAGCCTATGCATAATGTGGTAACTTCAGCGATCAAAAGCAGATAGGAAACAAATACTACTGGTTAGTTTAGGAAGTAAAGCCATTTTTGTACCTCGTAGATGTTAATAGCAAGCAGCACTGTGTAGAATGGAGCAATCAAGTGGAGGAACATAAGTGAGAAGCGAAGCTAGTTTTGGGTGCCCCAGTCTGTTAGAATTAACAGGAAGGTGTAGAGGTTCATCATTATGTACATTCCTGAAAACAGAAGTACTAGCCTCCCTGCTAAATTACCTGAAGAGTAACCTTCTACCTTAGGATTACTCATCAAATTAGCATTGGCACTCACAGTTTGAAAAGAGGCAATAGTCTAGATTTTCATTTTATATAATTATGCAATTCAATTTTTTCTATTAATTTGATCTCTTGGGGTTTTGGGGTTTTGGGGTTTTGGGG